TTTTTTCAAATGGACTCAATGATTGACTAATTCCCTTACATTCCTGGACAACAGGTACATAGGCTAAGTGGGTGACTAGAGAGCTTGCCAGATACAGGGAAATCAAGGTCTATCACATGGCTTAATCTCACACCCTTCTTCTGACTCCATAGAAAATTAAACACCAGACCCTTGAAGCAGAAGTTACACAGATACTGGGACAACTATTCTCTCTGATTTTAGTTGGGTTTTGTGTACCATTTATGGTTAAATATTCTATCAGGTAGCTCTTGTGTAAGACAAAGCTCTCTAAGAAGGCAGTATTGTAAAACAGCAATTCCTTACTTTGTTCACAATGCTGTAAGCAATTTCTGCTGGTCTCCAATGAGAGCTTTTCCTGCCATCCTTGGCTTGGATTCCTTATTCATTTCTGGCAACACACCTGTTATCTGCCTAACTATGCTTGTGGATGAATGGTCTGTGATGGTCTTCCACATTTATCGAGTGATTTGGTTTAGGCTTGCTGGATTGAGTAGGATGAAATGGCTCTGGGTCTTTCATGGTCCAGGCAGCTTACACTGCTTCACATTATTCTCAAAGTGCTTCAAGCAATAAAACCCAGGCAAATTCCCCAAGACAAGCACTTTCAAGTCAGCTTGCTTCATGTTTGCTCTTGTCAAACTGGATGAAGTGAGTTACATGGCAAAAGCCAGAGGCAAGGACAAAGGCAGAGGGACACCTCCCAGTTGTTATCAGTCTACTACCACTGAGATCTGTGACCTGCCCTGTTTGTCGTGAAAAAAAAAAAAAAAAACTTAAATTTCAAAAAGTTGCATTTTGCAAGACTTCGCTCTTCAAAATGACCTTCGTATTTCTTTATAAATAGTTAAGATTCCCTTATTCCTCTGAGTGAATAACAAAATGGCTTTATGAAATTCTGGAAAGAGCACATCTGAAACTTGGTCATTTTGGGGGAAGTTGTAATGTTCTCTGTAGTGTCCGCACTACAAATCTAGTCCACAAATCGGGCGAAGGCCTAGAGATTGAAATAAGAAAGAAAACAGCGGAGCCTTCATTCAACAGCAATGTGGGAATGCTGAATGCCATTTATTGAGGGGATGGGGTGGGCTTATATACTTACTGACTCACAGCACAGTAGAAAATGACAAGGTTTTCAGGCTTAGCTCCTCCCCAGCAGGTATGTGTTAGCAAAACAGGAAGAGTACCAATAACAACTCTGGGGCAAGATGTTCCAGCCAACAGCTTCAGGTTTGCTCAAGGTGCCTCAGGGGTCCATGCAGGGCCCCAAAGTCCTCTTCTTAGAAATCAGTGCCTTTACTGTGGATCAGGTCGCCACAGACTCTTTTTATTTCTTTTCTTGCCACGAAGTCTTCAGCTCATTTTGTGCCATCTGAGTTCCTTCACTCTGTTCCTGACATCATTTTCGGGAGATCTTTTTTTTTTTTTTCTCCTGCAGGCCAAGTCTTGAATGTCTGTATTTGGGCTCAACTGCCTTTGCACAATCCAAGACATCATCATAAATGATGCCAAAGCCAGTTTCTTTTGCCACCACCAAAATGGAATCTGACTCCAAAAATGATGATGACATTTGTGTGGTGTGGTCCTTCACATTTTGTCTAGGATTCCCCAGATTTCATTCTCCATTAGTGTTGCCTTTCTAGAGTGCAGTACATCAAAGGGCATTTGTTTCTTCTATACCAATCATGAAATGAACAATTTGGTCCGGACAGTTACTGTGTCATTCTTGATGGTGGAGCTACTCAAGCAGCAAGGAGGCAAGAACTCCTTCACTTTGGTTTAATCAGACAATTGTGATCTCCTAAGCTATCCACAGATTCCAGCCCAATCTACCAACTTCACACCTGACCCTCCTGCTTTACTCAAGGCTCTATTCAGATGTCAGAGAACAACTTTCAAGTTTCTGCTACCATCAAGCCTAAACTAAGTTTTTAGGACTTCTTGTATTTTTTTTTTTAATTTGCTTTGTAGTAGTTGATATTGTCCATTTGAATGTCCCTGTTGCAACAGTTTTTTCCATGTAATTGTACTTACTTCACAGGAAAGCCACTGTTGTAAATACTAACATTTCACTCTTTAGTTAACAGAAAAAAAGTCTACATTTTCCTGAGTTTTACTTAAGACTATATCATTCACAAATCAAATCACATTAACATTTTTTACTTTTATTATTATTATTTATTTTACATATCAATCCCAATTCCCTCTCCCTCCCTCCCATGCCCCCCCACTCCCCTCCCATCCCATCTTCCCCCCACCACTCCACAGTGAGTGTGATGCCTTCCAGGAGGGATCATCAAAATCTGTCAAGTCATTTGAAGTAGGGTAAGGCCCTCCCTGCTGCCTTTAGGCTAAGGGAGTATCCCTCCATGGGGAATGTGCTCCCAAAGTTCTTTCCTGCACCAGGTATACTTCCTGGTTCCACTGTCAGAGGTCTCTTACACTGCCCAGGCCTTCTAACTGAAACCCATATTCAGGGGGTCTGAGTTGGTATAATGCTGGTTTCCCAGCTATCAGTCTGGGGGGGCCCATGAGGTTCCCCTTGTCCAGGTCAGCTGTCTCTGTGGGGTTCTGTAGCCTGGTTTTGACCCCTGTTCTTATCACTCCTCCTTCTCTAAACTGGATTCCAGGAGTTCAGCTCACTATTTAGCTGTGGGTGTCTGTTTCTGTTTCCATCAGCTACTAGATGAGGGCTCTATGATGGAATATAAGTTAGTTATCAATCTCATTATCAGGGAAGGACATGTAAGGTAGCCTTTCCACTGTTCACATTCATCTTTTAACTAGAATGATAGACTTTTATCTCTCACAATCTCTTTTCACCAGTTCAGAGCTTCTTAAGAAACATTTAGCAATATTGGTTGTAACATGTATATGTATCAGCATCCTGATGGTAATAGGATATGCTTTTACCTAGTTGTTTAACAGCAATACTGAGTGTATCTACACTGAGGAAGGTGACTTGATAGCTCTCTTCTCCTAGTTTATCTTTAATCATGGGGTGATCCTCTCCAAGGGTCTTTGAGCATTCTTTCCTACTGACCATATCTTCAATGGCAATAGTATCTCTTTACAAGCCACTGTTTTCACTTGCATCTGACCATACTCTTTCTACATGACCAGGTATTGGGCACTGCACAGACCTCAACAGTCATTTACAAAAGTCACATTCTGGCTAAGACTGCTCAGGCATTTGCTACCCTTGAGAACAGAATCATGTTCATTCATTTTCAGGTTTAACTGGCAAAACATGTTGCTCAGTTAATACTTAAAACTTGACCTGTGTGTGGCACAGCTACCTCTCAAGTTTTCTGAGTATGCTTCCCCTTGATGGAATTGTTTTCCTTTCCAAAGCAGGGTTTTCAACCCAATCCAGGACCGGCTTGATATCAGCTGAGTGCTGGTATGAGATAAAGATTCCTAAAATGAGGGAGGAGACATTCAGTGCCCCCAGAAGTCTAGAAGTCTACACCAGAGAAGGAATGAGAGAAACCTTAGAGAAAATAAAAATGTATGGTTAAAGTTTTGTTGAATTTTGGACTCTGGGATACTGCTTCTCTGGCAAGAGGTCAGTGTGAACAAAGCACACTGACCTTTGCAATATCCAAATGACAACCACTGGGCCTGGGTAATGGCTCACTAGGGAAAGTGCTTGTGTCTCAAGAGTAAGGACCTGAGTCCCAATAACCACCACTCACATAACAGCCAGGTTGAATTCCCAGTGCTAGAGAGACTCTAGAAACTCTGACTTCCTGGGGCTTATTGATAAGTGCAGCCTACTTGGGGAAATCATGTCCACAAAATCATAACAGTGGGAGAGAAATGGAGTGGGCCTACACCTGTTCAAAACAAGCACGCACACATGTGTAAGTGCCCTCCCTCCCTCCCTCCCTCCCTCCCTCCCTCCCTCCCCCTCTCTCTCTCTCCACCAAACCCCTGAATGCTCATCTGTGAGCAAGCCAGGAAAGGGTACTGTGGGTGAGGATGCAGGCTCTTGACAGAGAATCCAAGATTTTGTGGGGTTGCTACTCCAGAAACACCTTGCAATGGGGTTGAAAGGAGGAGTCCCCGGGTTTAATGACTGAGAAACTGAGGAACAGAGAGGCTATGCAAAACGGGACTAGGGGCTGTGTGCAAGTGTTTAAGGCAAGGGCTGAGCCAAGATGGTTGACAAACTGCAGAAGAGAACCTGTTGAAGAAAGCGAGCTGCATGTGACTCAGCAAAGATTATTCTGGCAAGTCTGTCATTGGTCATTGTGGCGACACCGGCCTTCTGCCTATAAATAAGGCAGTGCTGTTCATAATGGGAGAGGACTATGACGCAGACCTGGACCCTGCTGATTGTGCCTTTGTCGGAGGGGGTGGGCCGCGTCTGGTCCCCCGCTACTGGCAGGTCTGGCCTAGACTCACACGTGGTGGCGAGGACCCTGTGCAATGTCACAATGGGGTGCACCTCCCCAGTGCAGTGGGATCTAGAAGCTTCCCAGGCAGAGCAGTGCGGGACGCCTGCGCAGTGAGCCGGCGGCGTCGCGTGTTGCGGGAGTCGGGAGACCCCCGCCTCCGCCCCTCGCCCTTCGACAAACGAACGCACGCGCAACCGGCCGCGCGCGCGCACGCGCCTCACCTCGCTCAACCCCTGCCTGGGCGGCGGGCAGCGAGCAGGCGGGCGAGCGGGCCGGGACCGCGCACCGTCCACTCGGGGGGCTGTGCGGAGGAGGAGCGGGCTCCGGGCTACAGGCTGCCGGCGGCGGAAGCGGCGCCTCCAATCAGGCGGCGGGCTCGCGACCCTCGGCGTGCCCGGCCGGCGCTGCCCGCCCCGCGGACTGACTGACGCGCCAGCTCGCCCCCGCCCCCCGCGCCCGCCCCCGCCTAGACTCCTCGGGCTCGGGCTCAGCTCAGGCTCCGCTCAGCTCGGCTCAGCTCCACTGCTCAGCGCTCGCGTCTCCTCCAGCCCAAGCCAGGCCCTTTCCCTGCCAGCACAGACTCCCGGGCTGCGCGGCGGCGGCTCGCTCGGCATCTGCAAGCGACCACAGAGGCGGCGGCGCCCAGGATGAAGTGCAAACCCAACCAGACGCGGACCTACGACCCCGAGGGCTTCAAGAAGCGCGCCGCGTGCCTGTGCTTCCGCAGCGAGCGCGAGGACGAGGTGCTGCTGGTGAGCAGCAGCCGCTACCCCGACCGCTGGATCGTGCCCGGAGGCGGCATGGAGCCCGAGGAGGAGCCGGATGGCGCGGCGGTGCGCGAGGTGTACGAGGAGGCGGGAGTCAAGGGGAAGTTGGGCCGGCTGCTGGGCGTCTTCGAGCAGAACCAGGACCGCAAGCACCGGACCTACGTGTTCGTGCTCACCGTCACCGAGCTGCTGGAGGATTGGGAAGACTCGGTCAACATCGGCAGGAAGCGAGAGTGGTTCAAGATCGAAGATGCCATCAAGGTCCTCCAGTGCCACAAGCCCGTGCATGCCGAGTACCTGGAGAAACTGAAGCTGGGCGGCTCCCCCACTAATGGAAACTCGGCCGCCCCGTCCCTGCCAGAGAGCGAGCCCTAGTATGTACCGCTCCCGCCCGCCCGGACTCCTGCCTGTCGCCTCCCCGCACTTGCCTCCTGCCTGCCTGCCTGCCCGCCCGCCTGCCTGCCAGGAGAACACCTCTCCTGCCCTGTGTGCTCGCACGGGCAGGAGGGAGGCTTCTTTTGTTTCCTTGGCAGGCAGACCTCTGAATCACGCTTGCAAACTGTCTCGGTTGCCAGGCGCTGTTTGCAGACAATTTGCACGTTTTTCAGATGCTTTTCTAATCGCTTTTTGGTGACACTGTAAAAATCTTGTGGTCAGCCAGAGCTGCATGGGATTTCGTGAAAGGTGCCTTAGCTGCTTGCTCTGCTCTTCATGGAGTGTGTGTGTGTGTGTGTGTGTGTGTGTGTGCTTGTGTGCATGTATCTGTCTGCCCGGTTTGCTCTGCTCTTCATGGAGGGTGTGTGTGTGTGTGTGTGTGTGTGTGTTTGTGTTTGTATGTGTGTTTGTGTGCTTGTGTGCATGTATCTGTCTGCCCTGTTATGTTTTTGTTTGGGTGGTGGTTTTTTTCCCTTTAAAACCCTTTACATGTTTTTGTGCGTGAGTGTGCGTGCGCACTTTTGATGTCAGGCTTGTGGTCTGTTTCTTGGTGGAAGACTTTAGAGCCCTACCAGCTGCAGGGGGTTGGGGGAGCGGGGCGGTGGGGCATCTTTTTATGCTTTTTCCCCCCTTGTTTCTCATTCACAGCCTTGGTTCTTGTCAGTGAGCCATTCTTGGGAGACATCGACTCGGATGATTTGTTTGAAATAAAATAAAATATTTGGAGAATTCCTACCTTTCCTTTTTGCATAGAGTACTTTTAGCACCCAAAATGTCATCTAATATGTCCAAGAAGAAACTTCGTGTATTTTCATATGACTAAAACCCATTTTTATTTTCAAGAAAAATTTTACACTTGATTTTTCACTACTGAACATTTTAAATCAGTTGTCAGACATCATCCATCAACTGTAGAATTTTCTTGAAAATTAAAATGGTTATGTTCATTTCCTATGTAAGTTATATGTCACCCTGATAGATTGGATATTCCTAGAGACATACTAATAAGATGCTTTTTATCAGAATAACTCTATTTATACATAGTTTTAGCCTGCTCTTCCAGTAACTTCTGACTCCCAGCACCCTTCTGGATACTCTTTTTTAAAAGTATGCTTTTCTCGGGGTCTGTTCATTTTGAAAGACAGTAAGCTTTTAGTAAATCCCATGGCTCCCAGCAAATGCAGGAATGAAATCTTTTAGGGTGATTGCATATCTGCAATCATTCAGAGCATTTATAGTCTTTATATTCTTGCTGGTCAGCTGTTAACATAGTTCTCAAACTGAACCATCGTGAACCATCAAGTAAATGTTTCATTTCTTACAATAAACATTTTGGTCGCTGCATTGTAGTTCTTACCTTGATACATGTTTGAAATAAGGAGCCACAGCTAAAGTATGCCACGCTTGCTTCTGGAAATATTTCAGGTCCCCTGCCACCTCTATTTAGCTACGTAGAGAGCCTTTTTAAAAGATAGTATTAAGACTGGAAATATCATTTTTAAGAAACATCTTGGATGAGAACAGTGAATATAAAAGAACTAACAAAATCACATGAGTTAGAGCTACTTGCTTTTTATTAACTTATTTTGAAAAAAAATTCATAGATTATATTTTGATCATACCCTTTCCCCTGCCCCAATCTCTCCCAGGCCCTCCTAACCCCCAAGCCATATTCAACTCTGTGTTCTTTCTTGCTTGCTCCAAAACCAAGGAAACAAACAAAAACTACAAAAAAGACAAAAACCAAATCATAACAAATGCACACAAAATAATTGGGGTCTGTTTTATGTTGGTCAATTATTCCTGAGCATCAGGCCTAACTTAGAATTGGGTTGACATAGCTAGTGTCACTAGAGAAAACTGATTTTTCTCTCTCCTAGCAAGTATCAATTACAAATAGTTTCTTGGCTAAGGGGTGGGACTTTGTGCCCACTCCCCTTCTCCATGCTGGGATTTTGTCTGGGTTGAAATTGTCCAGGCCTTGTACATTCTGCCACAGGTTCTGTGAGCTCATATGTACTTCAATCCTGTTGTATGTGGATGATGCTATTTCTTTGGTGTCATATACAACTTAGAACTTTTATAGTCTTTTTATTGCCTCCTGGTCCCCATAGATCCCTGAGCCTTGAGGAGGGGTGTTTAATAAATATATCCCATTTATTGCTCTCAAAATTACATTTTAAAACCTAAACTTTATTGGGACATCATCTATTTAAAATTCCATTAAGGTACAAATTGATGTATAAGTCAATTTGTACTTCATGAACACATGAAATTCATACTTTCTTTCTCTACCACTAAAGTCATTATATTTTCCTTCATCACTATACTGGGCTCTTTCTATCTTTTAATACCAGAGATCAGTTTAGTCTTGAACCCTATCTGTATTGGTTCTGAGTGCATTTTTGTGTGATATGTGTTCAGAGCATTCAAATGTCTTTCTCCATTTGGTTTTAAGTTATTTCACATTTAGTACTGACTTAAGCTTCTAAAAGTAGAGTCCTTGCACTTTCTGAAGAACTGTGGTTTCACTTTATGAAAATTTTTACTTCATATTTAAAATTTAAACCTTAATTTCCAAAATATACTTTGATCTCTTACTAAAGGAAAGATTATATGACGAATTTGAAGCACTTATTTTTAATTTCAATTTTACTTTTACTAGTTAAAAAGTTCCTAGTAGATTCTGCAGTTTTACCTCCGTTAACTCAGTTAACATTAACATTACAGATATAATGAATTTGGCTTTCTTTATGGATATTTCTTTTTACAAAAACCTTAGAAACCTTGTCAAAAATTCAGTGGAGGCTTTACTTGTACTTGCTATTACTACAGTCAACAATGTGTCAATCTTTAAATGACATTTATGTTTGTGTGTGTGTGCACATGCATGTGTGCATATACATGCACAAATGTACTTTTGCTGGTGAGATAATGGCATTGTGTAGCTGTGAAGGTCAGAGGACAATGTATGAGAGTGGTGTTCTCTTCTTCTACCATGCAAGTTCAGGGAACAGAACTCATGTAGTCAGGGTTGGTCACAAGGGCCTTTACCCACTGAGCCAGCCTGTAGGTCCTCTTAGTGCACCCTTTCATTATGTACTATACATAATGAAAAGTGTATTCATAATCCATTATTAAGAATTGTTTGTCTATAAATATATTATGAATTATTTTTATCTTCAAGATTTTGTCAGTAGTCCCCAATTTAAACACATTTTTAGGGATAGTATATTAATTCTACTAGCCAGTCTTCTAAAAACTGATCACCAGCTGCTTGTTTTTCCTTCTGAGAGTGCTAAGTCATTTTATATAGTTTTTTATGAGAAGGCTAAAATATACAGCTAGATTTTTACATAATCTTTCAATTGAAAAGGGAAGAATACACTATCAGATAATTGTGATTTACAAATATGAATCAGAAGTTTACTACTCATACATTTTATAAATAGCTGTCATTTTCCATTTTTATTTGTTCAAGTGTTTTGTTGGTAACTAGGGATTTTTTTCCAGGTCTTCATGCATGCTGAGCATGGACTGGACTACGGAGCTCCACCCACAGCCCCATGCATGATAAAGTATTTTGTTATTCCAGATGGAAAAAAAGGAACCATTAATATAGGTTTATGTGAATATAGGTTTGTATATATACTGGAAACATGTAATCTAGCCTTGACTTTAAAGAAACAAAGACAGGAAGCTGACTTGCATTTGCTTTATTACTTTGTACACATTCATTTGAGATCATTGATAAGGTTTCTCATTGAACAGTACAGTTTCATTTCTAGCAAGAATGCCTTACAGGATGTAGATGAAAAATTTCTCTGAACAGAACTTTTACCTTCAGGCTTACTATTCTCCTGGTAATCCTCTCCTGATGTGGCACTGTATGTGACATGGTTGTTCTGAGCAAACAGAACTATGAGAAGTCAGTATGGCCACATGACACTTTATTAGAGAACAGGATAGAAACTACCCCAGAGCTTGGAATTCCAAACCAGGTGTAGTTCTCACACTGTAATTACACTCATGTTACCAAATCATCCTAACCCTGTCATTGTAGATGATACTAATACATATTGTGGAAACATCTCCAATGAGATGTTTGTTTAAAGTGGATTAAGAAGCACACTTCTGTGTAATGGTTAACAGTTTATTGTATTTGATCATTTGTATTACTATGTGGCCACCAGCTTGAATTATACCTGTAAGTCTAGACTCCAGACTAGAAGGCAGAATTTATTAATCTTTTTTATCTTAATTTCTAATTCCCCTCTGGTATCACTGGTTTCATGATTTCTGAGGGAGAGAGGGAAGGAGGGAGGGAGAGAGGAGGGGATATGTGTGTGTACGAAATTCCTCCAACTACTGGTCTATGTTCACATAGCATTTGCCTTAGAGCCTGTGTGGGATTTCTAAATAACAAATGATTGGTGCACCTAATATGTCTTTAATAACTCTGCTGCTTGGAAGAATTGCAAATATATACCTGCAAAATGTATCTTTGTTTCTTTTTCCAGATGAGCAGAAACCATGTTCAAGATTACACTGAAATAAAATCATTGATGTGAATCCAGTATTCAGTGATATTGTCAAGTTCACCGGAGCACTTTTAAGGTTCCCAAGGAGACCACTCATCTGGTTATCCTTCTACATCTTGGAACACTCCTCTGTCTATTTTACCAACGTTTTTGCTCTGGTTGTTGTACTATTGTATGTGAGCGGACTTAATTCAGCACCTATAGCCTTTTGTTGTGCTTTTCTGATGTGTCTGCCTTCTTCATTAGACATTACCATTGAGAGCTATGGCTATTTTTCTTTACTGTGCATAGCCTGCATCTAAGACACTACTTGAAATATGGTTGGCATCACTGGAGGTCTTTGAGTCAATTAATATTTTGTAATCTCTATGTGGCAAAACATTTCCCTTCCAATCTGGTGCTAGTAGAGGATCTGCTGTTTAAGCACCATATGTGTGGTTCATGTGTTTTTGGGTTTTCATAAACACTTCAGGATAGTTGAAGATGTTCAAGGGCAAGAGTTAGTACTCATTTCTATGTCATAGCATCCAATGGCTGGCATACTTTTAATATTGTGCCATCATTTAGGGTAACATTTTCTAGAATTAGTCCTTCATGTAACAACTTTAGCTTTTTTGTACTGTTGTTAATTTGCTTAAAATTTTATTCAAAAATATCACTTGCTATAAAGGTAATTGTAAAAACACTACAATGAAAACATATTATTGTGAGTTTTTATAAAAATAAATTTTAAAATAATATACAAATAATATTTAATTTTTTGCAATGCTCTATCTACTTCTTAAATGTCTGCATTTCCTTGCAGAAAATGCTGGGTTTTGCTTGTTTTACAGATTAAATGTCTGTAATATTTGATGGTGAGCACGAAGGCAGTTTTCAGAGCTAATTATGCCATTTAGTTGCCTACGTGTCTTTTGCCTCTCTCACTGTTTCAGTTAGCTGTGGTTTTCATCCCTTTCCTAGTCTGCTCAACTAGCTTCTCAGTACCACATGCTTTCTGCATGTAAAATTGCAGATAGTTGAGAGTGCTAAATTGGTGTCACTTAGAAAGGCTTCAGGGAAAAAGACTGCTGTAAAAGGGGAACATAAAATGAAGAATTTAAATGAGGGAGCTTTTGGGTCAACTCTTTCCAGAAGACTAAGTCTATGAGAAGGACAAGGAAATTTCATGGAGTTTTGCCACAGGGTGTGTGATGTCAACACTCTTATTCAGTTCATTACAAGGGTTCCAAAGATGTTCTAATATGGTTATTGTGTTTTACTTTTTCATTATAAGCTATTCTATTGGGAAAGGCTTGAACTCCAATTTAGTGTTAACACCCTTCCTCATGGTACCAGTGAAATGTATTGTGTCCCCATATCGTACAGACTTTAAAATAAAACCACATCTTATAATTTACTGGAGTTTCTATTTGTTTTATGTACGTGGTTTTACTTTCTAAAGAAATCCTTTCTTTTAGAAAGCTGTACTGAAAATTTACAGCTAAGCTACTGTTATTTGCTTCAATATCATCAGGGTGGTATAAGTTTGTATATAAATGAAACAAGATGGGCTATGATTTGATAATTGCTGAAGCTGTGTGACAGATGTTTGAGAATTCATTATTCTCTATACTTTTGTATTGTTTAAAGTTTTCCATAATAAAAATTGCACAGATGTATTCCTTAGACTTTACTAGTAGGCTACCTCTCTCTTTTAGACTCTAAGTATGGATGGCTGGTCAGAATAATAGTTTACAGGAAGATAAAACTATTCCTCTAAGAAGCTGGCTTTTTGTCCTTAAACATATTGCTAACTACCAGTTTCTTTCCAAAGAGTTTTTGTTGTTGTTGGACGGCCTCCAGTTAATATGTACAAAAGGATCTTAATTCACCCAGTATGCAATATGTGAGTGGGGACATAAGTTAATGTATAGATGGAACAACACTTCATTTTGCAATCTCCTTTTTTAAGAAAAAAATAAGTATATGAGTGTTTTGCTTCTGTGTATGTGCACTGCATGAGGTCACCAGGATCCCCTGGAACTTGGGTTAATGATGTTTCTAAGCTGCCAATTTGGTGCTGGGAACCCAACTTAAGTCTCTTGCAAGAACAGCAAGTATTTATAATTGCTGAGCCATCTCTCCAGCCCCAGTATTTCCTTCAAAAATAACATGTTCTAATTCATCTTTTAAAAAAGTTATGAAAATGAAAAGTAAATGAGTAAAAAAAATCACACATAATCCCACATTTCAGTGCTTTAAAAAAATGAGTTTCGGTCTTCATCCTTTGCATAGAATCATTTATGTATATGATTATATATACTACACACACATACAGGATGTAGTGGTGTTATGTGTCCACCAAAATATTTCCAAAAGGTCCATGATGCATCTATTTTAATCATATTATGCATTGGCACATTGCTCTTTCTTAGATTTTTTTTTTATCAAATCTGTGCTGCTTCTGACTTGCAAAAATAACAGGAAGCAAAATATAACGCTTGGATCTGAACTCTAGATACACTGTATCTACAAATTCCTGGTACAAGCCAAATAAGTCAGTTGTGCTATGCTGTGTGTGTATGTGCCCATTTCTGAGTCCTAATATCTTCACACATGTAGCTCTAAAGCCACAGGTCTTAAAGTTCTTTTTTATTATCATTATTATTATTTTATTTTACATGTCGATCCCAGTTCCCTCTCCCTCCCTCCATCCCTTCCTCTTATCCTCTCTCCCCCCTCACATGCACCCTGACTACCCTCCCCTCCCATCCCCCCACCCCTATTCCACATGTAGGCCATTCAGGTGGGGTCATGTAGATCTGTCAAGTCATTTGAAGTAGGGACTAGGACTTCTCTCCTGTCTCTACGTTAAGGCAGTATCCCTCCATGGGGGATGTGTCCACAAGGTCCTTTTGTGCACCAGGAATACATCCTGGTTCCACTGTCTGAGGTCCCTTAGACTGCTCAGTCCTTCTGGCTGAGACCCATATTCAGGGGGTCTGAGTCAGTCCCATGCTGGATTCCCAGCTATCAGTCTGGGGGGCCCATTAGCTCCTCCTTGTTCAGGTCAGCTGCCTCTGTGTGTTCCTGCACCCTGGTCTTGTCCTTTCTCTCTGCATCTGGATTCTAGTTCGACTCAGTGTTTAGTTATGGGTGTTTGCTTCTGTTTCCAACCGACAGCTAATGTCAATTATCAGCTAGAATCATCTGGGAATTGGGCCTCTGGACCAGTCTACGGTGATTTGTATTGATGAGGTTAACTGCAGTAGGAAGACCTGCTCACTGTGTGGAAGCATTCCTTGGTTGATATTCTGAACTATGGAAGTGGACACAGCTGAGCAATAGCATTGTCAAGTTCCTGCTGCCTTGAATTCCTCATTATGAGGAAACTATACCAGGTTTTTTCTTTTAGGCCACTAACCAGCTCCCAAATCATGAAACAGAGACTTATTATTAGATATGAACGCTTGGCCTCGCTTAGGCATATTTCTGGCTAGCTATTTCAACTTTAATTAACCTGTTTCTTTTCATATACCTTTTGCCTCAGTGCTTACTATGTTTTTAATTTCTGTTCTGTATATCTTACTTTCACTGTTTCTCCAGACTGGCTGGCTGACTTCTGCCTGGCTTCTTGCCCAGATATGTCTCTCATTCTCTCTTCCTCCTCCTGTTTTTCTCTCTCTTTAAGCCAAGATTTCTCTTATTTAGTCTATCTGTCCACCAGCCCCACATATTCTCTCTTCTGCCTAACTATTGGACAGTCAGCTGTTTATTAGATCAGTCAGTTGCCTTAGGCAGGCAAGGTGAAACAGATGCAACACATCTTAACATAATTAAATACACATCTTTATGTCATTAAACAAACGTAGCATAAACAAAAGCAACACACCTTTACACAGTTAAAGTAATATTCTGCAGCATAAAGAAATGTAACACATCTTTGCCCAGTCCAATATACTCCCCAACACTATACCCTTGAACTGTGAACTGAAATAAACCTTTCTTGAAATGCTTTTGCTGGAGTATTTGATCGTGGTGACAGGAAAAGAAACTAAGACAAAAGGGTTCTCCGAAGTAAAATAATTGCAACATGTTGGTCTCAAATAGGCCTCACCTACATAGCCTTACCTGTTTTACAGGATGTTCGTTTTCTCCAGAGCCTCCATCTGTGATGTCATTTTGTAGCCTCTGACCCTAATGTGGTTGCTACTCTGGACAGTTGTTTCTAAAGGGTAAACAAGGATACCTCCTACTTTGGACTAATAGGAAGGTAGCACATTTTGCCATAATGTGCCCTCATCCTTACATAATTGCCTACAGCACATTACATACCATTCTATGACTTTTAATGAGGTTTTTACTGAAGATAGCTGGAATATGTAAAGGAGATATAATAAAATGTGGGGATTTTAGTGAGATGGCTCAGTGGGGAGAACATTAACCAAAATTACAACCTTACTTTGATCCCTGAAATCCACATGGTGGAAGTAGGGAACTTCAAGTTGTTCTCTGACCTAAACAATATACCATGGCACTTGCAAACACACACACTCAGGCACGCATGCATGCACGCACACACACAGAGAGAGAATATAAGTGTAATACCTTTTTAAAGAACATATAATTTACATTTAGCATACATAAAATGTATGTTAGAAGGATAAGTCAGGTCCTTTCTCGATCCAGCCCTGGAACTGTTTTCTCCAACAGAAGCAGCATGCATGGGTCTGCATAGGGCCTACATGGCTGGATGTGTGTGTGTGTGTGTGTGTGTGTGTGTGTGTGTGTGTGTGTAATGGCTTCCAGTTTAATGTTTATATGGGATTCCAGAGTGTGAAAATAAGTGGGTCTCAGATTCTTGTGCTTTCTCCTGGGCTCTTCCTTTTGTTGGTTTGTCCTGTCCAAATTTAATGTGGTAGTTTTGGTTTTATCTTATTATATTTTATTTTGTCATATTTTTAAATGAATGAATGAATGAAAATATAGCCACTAGGGTAAAGGTTAACAAACTGAAATGTCACATACCTGCTGGGAGAGGGAAATCAA